TTAAACTAAAAATGTATTATTTTATTGATTAAGTTTTTAGTTATTATACTCTCAAAATCATTCTGCTTAAATCTGCAGATTTTGTTTATAATTTAATGTCCGCAGATTCAGTATGGCCTTGCTAACAAGCTATATATAGTGTTTACGTCACATGCACCATATAAATGGCGGTGTGAGACACAGGTTGTCATGCGTGACTGACAGTGATGGTTGGATTGCTGTGGTTTTGTATTGAATGTGTGTGTGTTTCAGTGTGTTTTGGAGCTGTGAGTCAGTCTTTGAAGAGTCAGGCCAGTGTGTGTCTCAACGCAAAAGAGAGAGGTTGTATCAGCGCTCAGCATCTGCCCAATGAGAGCGCTGTGTGAATTCACTATCCATGCTGTGGATGTCTGGCAATAGCTCAGTTTTACCCACTTCTCTCAGAATCCAGTGCTTATTTTGGAAGTGCCTGGAGGAATGGAGAGGGAAGAGTAAGCTTGTTTGAAAAGCAGGTAAAATATGGAAAGAAAATGACAGTGTTTTAAAGTGGAAGAGCGTCTCTGGTGTCCCGCAGTCTCTGCCCTCATTGTGCTAGACGAGTTTAAGAGTGCGCATCATCCCTGAAAAGAAGGACAGGAAGTGATGTAACTACTTGAGGGGGTTGCGCTGCTAGGTTTATGTGTGAAATAAATGGGTAATTTTTCTTTTTTTAGAGATTAACCGTATTTATATACCAAATAAATTAAAAGATAACACCCCTGTCTTAAAGATAGAAAGGAAAATAGATAGAAAATTGATACATAAAATAGATAAATGTGGATGTGTGAGATATATATATCACACCGGGTATACCAACCCGGGTATACCGGGTTGGACCCCCTTTTGCCTTCAGAACTGCCTTAATCCTTCGTGGCATAGATTCAACAAGATATTGAAAACATTCATCAGAGATTTTGGTCCATATTGACATGATAACATCACACAGTCGCTTCAGATTTGTCAGCTGCACATCCATGATGTATTGACCATTTCTACATGCCTAAATGCATTGGGTTGCTGCCATGTGATTGACTGATTAGAAATTTGCGTTAGCGAGCAGTTGGACGTGTACCTCAAAGTTTCTGGAGAGTGAGTTCTATCTGGTTCTTGAATCTGATTGGCTGATAGCCGTGTGATATTCTGCAAATGACAGCACTCATTCAGCCTCCTAACCCTTCACCCTTGTGTATTACTCCGCCCACATACAGTGACAATCAGAGCACACTCTACAGTTTGGCAAATATTAGAATGTAGTTGTGAAGATTGCAACACCGCAGTTTATTTATAAGGATAGTGCCTATTTTAAAATATTTGTAATTTCTGAGAGACAGCACAGCGCCAGACATTAGTTTCTTTACATTATGTTCATCCACAAGATGGCTACAGAGACCGCTTGATAAGCCCTTTAGAGGATAAAAATAGCATAATTTCTATAGTTGATTAAATCATTATTAAACAGGCAAATAACATTCTAAGTCGATCTCTTTTGTATGCTGTAGTGCTATATTTATTATACCATATATATTTGTAGTGTGTTGAGTGTAAGATGGGACTCATGAGATGGGACATATCAGGAATGTATGTAATTTGTGTTGGCCACTCTTTGTATAACCCTGAGTTACTTTTTGGTTGGCCATCTGTTTGTTTCTAATGAGTCTTCTGTTTGGGTTACTGGTTTGGGAAAAAAAAATGCACTGCAGACTAGTTCAGTAAAAAGAAAGAAAGAAGAAATGTGTAGCGTTTTTCCTTATCGCAAACAGAACAGAAATCTGAAAGAGTTGGAGCTTTTTTGGCTTTTTCAGGAATAATTATTCCTGAAATTATTCCTGTTCTCTTATTTGCAACAGAGAAACACTGGGAAATCTCTGTATACTTATGGCATTTCATGCCGTTTAGCCTCATAATCTTAAAATATCTGCCAAAATCACCTGTTTTTCATCACTTTAGATATTACGTTAAAGAATCATTCAAATACTAGCTCTACAGTGACGTTTGTGAAGTAGCAATGATTTCTGTTGTTTTGACATCAGCTGCAGATGTGAAGGAATGGCGGAAGAGAGTAGTTCCTCATACAAAATGATTTTGAGACTCATCTTTGATTTTTTTTCTTTTTCTTTTTTCTTTATTTTTTTATACACCTTATTCCGTCGAGCTGTTGTACAAACACAAAATCACATTTGTATCTGCGCGATATTGCTGTATATTTTCACTGGTGGGACTCTAAGGCCCTCCTCCCACCTGTGCCAATATACAGCCATATCGCACTGCTTCAAGTCTGATATTACTCATCTATAAAATAATGTTGCGCTGCAAGTTTAGGTAGGAAAAAGTGTAATTACTCTTTAGATATAAACTATTTTTTACCAAATAAATCAAAAGATCACAGAATTATCTTCAAGATATAAAGAAAAATAAATTCATAAAACAGATGTGTGTGGACATGCTTGTCCGTATATAATGGTTATTTTAATTTTACTCACTATTTGTCCTCGTATACTAATTAAATCTATTGAGTCCAAAGAAATCATATTTTTATCCCTCTTATTTACATATTTTTATAAAACCTAGTTTTGTAAATTTTTATATTACAGTACTTTAAGTAAGACAGTGATTTTATTTTATTTTATTTATTTATTTAATTATTTATTTATTTATTTTATACTATAATAACCCTGGTATGAAGAAATCAATTTCTGGAGTAATCTTTATAATCTTTCACATTTTTCTAAAATAATTTTAGCTCATAATAAATCATAATTGCTCTATTTCTATAACGTACATCAGCTCACTTAACCACACATCACATATTAGAGAAAGGGTCACGTTTAACATGATAACATAATTGAAAGCTTGTTTCGTGTTTCAGGGCCTGGGTTAGCAATTAATTCAGGCTAATCAGGTTTTCTTATTTCCAGCTGTACATTTGTAAACTCTCGGTTAATGTTCTCATTTGCATATTTGTAAGGTTAATAATGCTGATTGGACAAGTACAGAGTGCAGTGAGCTTGTGACTGTTTTTAATAACAGGTTTACCATCTGGATAGATGTCGACATGTGACATCCACTCTGTTTTTCTCCTGTTGAGGGTTATTAGGCCTCCTGAGAAATTTGAATTCTTTTAAAAATATGTTCAAGTGCTGTTTAATAGAGACGCATTTTAAACCTAATAACTAATTTAATAACTGATTTGTTTTGTCTTTACCATGATGACAGTGCATTCTATTTTACAAATTTTTTGTGCAATATACAAATTTTCAGCTTTAAGCGCCATTTAAAGGCTTAATTTGGTAGGCTTAATTAGGCTTAACACAAGTTAGGTTAATTTGGCAGGTCTTTGGACAGTGGGCAGTGGTGTATTCTGTAGCCAATTGGATGCTTATAGAGGGTCTAAAAATATTGAAGTTATTATTATAATAAATAAATGAATAAATAAAAGTATTTTAGTCTAGCCTAAACTAATGAAATAAGACTTTCTCCAGGTGGAAAAAAAATGATGTGAAGTACTGAAAAATTTCTTTGCTATGTTAAACGGCACAACAACAAAAAAAAAAATTCAAGGATACTAATTTTGCTTTAAACTTTATATACATGAAATAATAGCACACAAGGAAAATGCATTTATTTTTTGGTTTCTCTCTTACAGAGTATAAACGCAATGTGTGAAAGTTGTTCAAATGCAGTATGAATATTTAATGAGAAAACACTGAGGATGTTTACGATTGGTTGGCTGTTAAATAATTCCAGTGCTGCAGAGTATCACGCATTATACCAGGGGTTTTAAAAACTGGTCACTAAAGTGGGAAAAACAGGACTGTAAACGGTAAAAATGAATAATGGCATATTATATTAATATCTAAAATTATAGACACATTATACTTACAGTTAGTTTTGTACATACAAAGGATTATGGCACATATATCAAATAAAAATATTTATTTCATTGTATGTTATTAAAATAAACAGATAAATAAAATTTTAAATAATGTTTTTTGGTTGACTACATTATGAATCAATCTTCCAAACCTTGTTTACATTTGAGGCCGTTTTTGATTGTCAAGTCAACAGATACTTCATTTACATAAGCAGAGGAATATAGATTCAGCAATAATGTTCTGTAAAAAATGCAGCTGTATTTCTTAACCTTTAAAGTTTGGATGAAAGTTGCATATGTTCAAACAAAGTAAATAATTTAAAAGAAATATTTATTAATATTTTTAATAAATATGATTTGTTAAATATCTGTATAGTTTATTTTTAAAAATATATAATGAGTTTAGAAAGTATGTAATAATATAACCTTAAATATTAACTAAATATTTTCTGATAATCTTATAATTTATTTAGGCATTTATGTCATCCATATTTACTCATCTGTATTTTTTCCTTTTTTACATAAAAAGCAACATAGATTCATAATCGTGGTTCTGGCATTTAAAAAAAAATAATACTGGGCATAGGTTAATCGCATCCAAAAATAAATGCTTGTTTTTACTTGTTTTAATAAATTCCCGTTTAAATATATTCAATACACAAACATAAATTATGTATATGTAATTCACACTTGTGCATAAAAACAAAACTATACAAAACAAAAATATTTACAGGTATTTAAATTTAGATACAAGTTGTATAATATCCGTATATATATTGTATATTAATAAACATTTTCTTAAATACTTGCATGTGGGTATTTATATGTACACATAATAAATATACACAGAACATGCACGTATATTATTGAGCCAAAATAGTGTTACTAATGATGTAAATTAGAATAGAGTCTGAAGCAGGTTAGTACCAGCAGGGGGCAGTATTGCTACAGTCAGAAACGACACATTTTGCTCCCATGTCCTATTTAGACAAAAACATGTACAGTCATAACACAAACATGTATATTATTATTATTATTATTATTATTATTATTATTATTATTATTATTATTATTATCAGTATTTAATACCCATTTCTCTTTTTCTTCTCAGATCGCTTTCTCTCAACACAGTAACTTCATGGATTTGGTTCAGTTCTTTGTCACGTTCTTCAGGTAAGATATTTTGCATGTGTAATAAGCAACAAAGTGAACTACTGAAATCTTTAATGAACTTCATATCTGCTCACTTATTCCTTTGAATCTAAGTGACATGCATTTTTTAAAGTACTCGTTGGATTGAAGTGCTTTCCTGCGTGATCTAGCTTTAATTCACCTCTTGAAGACCTGCTGTAATATGTTATTGATTCAGACCATATACAGCAAACTCAACCTTAAAAACAGCCCTGTTGCTTTGTTAAAGGGTAAATGTGGTTATATGTAATGATAGTTCACATATGGTTATGCATCATGTCTCTAGCGTATTGGTTATTCTCATAAAACCTATTAAATCAACACTGCGCTTATGATTTTAAATATAAAACTTAGTCATTTAGTAATATAAAAGCATTAGAATAATCTAATTTTAACATATGTATTTTTTACTGCAACTTTTTCAGAAATTATTTGTTGTCCATGTCAGTATGTGTGTTGAAAGCATGAAAATACACACACACATACATATACACAAAAGTGCATATATATATATATATATATATATATATATATATATATATATATATATATACATATACACATACACAGTTGAAGTCAGAATTATTAGCCCCTCTGAATTATTAGACCGCTTGTTTATTTTTTCCCCAAATTTCTGTTGAACAGAGAGAAGATTTTTTTCAACACATTTCAAAACATAATAGTTTTAATAACTCATTTCTAATAACTGATTTATTTTATCTTTGCCATGATGACAGTAAATAATATTTGACTAGATATTTTTCAAGACACTTCTATACAGCTTAAAGTGAAAGGCTTAACTAGGTTAATTAGGTTAAATAGGCAGGTTAGGGTAATTAGGTAAGCTATTGTATAACAATGTTTTTTTCTGTAGACAATCGAGAAAATAATATAGCTTAAAGGGGCTAATAATTTTGTCCCTAAAATGGTGTTTAAAAAATTAAAAACTGCTTTTATTCTAGCCAAAATAAAACAAACAATACTTTTTCCAGAAGAAAACATTTTATCAGACATACTGTGAACATATCCTTGCTCTGTTAAACATCATTTGAAAATTATTTATAAACGAAGAAAAAAAATTGAAGGGGACTAATAATTCTGACCTCAACTGTGTGTGTGTATATATATATGTATGTGTATAAATATAAAGAGTTCAGATGCAAAAATCAGACCATCAGACCTCTTTTCTTGTAAATGAGCATTTTCTATCAGGCTCCTCTGATAAAATTTTATATGTAATGATAAGGTTATTAGCTAGTAAAAAAATACCTTTTTTTTTAAAAAAAAAATGTCACTTTAGACAATTCTTTTGTTTTTACAAGGTACATTTTCTTTTGCGTCAACCAGCTGAATCCACGTCTGCTTTTTATGCAAAGACCTTTTAATCCATCTTTTGGAACAAGACAGTGTAATTAGTTAAAAATGAAGATGCCATTAGATTATTTTACCAAACATAAAACACATTACACAAACCACCTGAAATTTAAAATATATAAATCTGTTATTCCGCTGTGATAAACCAGGGTAAAAGCAGAAGGAAAATGAATGAAGGAATGAAGTCAAGTTAAGTGAAGTAAAGTTTAATCAATGACACAAAAATAGGCATTAAATAAATCTTAACAATCTGTTGTCATTTCTGATATTTGGGATTTAGATTTAATGTAAGTTAAACAATGTAAACATTGCAAACATTGTGAGCTAAGCTTGGTAGATTCAAATAATGTAGTGTAAAAACACTGTGAAACATCAAAATCTGTGCATTGTCCATTAACATAAAAAACTTATCAGATGTATCAGTAATATAAAGTAGGCTAATATGAATGTGTAGTTTTATGCATTATATTTATCTTTTAAAAAATAGCTTACAATAGCAAATAAAACACAAGGTAGGCCTACTGGGTAAAAAGAGATGCCTCTTAGACAATTTTAGAAGCTCATTCATTCATTCTCACCATACTTAAGGTCTTGTTCCCGTGTTTATGCTCATAGCATTCACGTGGGATAAAAGAACAGCATCTTAACTCTGTCTTTCGGGAAATAGAATTGCAGTTTATTGTATAGTAAATCAGACTCATTCAAAGTAGCGTCGCTGCGCAAAAACACGTTATGAATGCATGTTACACTTTCGACTGCACATTGTGTTCTCTTTTTCTTATAATGCAAAGAGTTTTGAGGTAAGGGACATTTTCATTTGCCATTCACTAACAGTTGGACCGGCTCATCCTGTTTATCAAACTCTGTCTTTTTAAATCGAATTTGAAAGAAGAATATGTCTCCTCGTAAAAGCCAGCGTATCAGTGCATTGCTACATTGAAAACATGATTCGATTCGCGCTTCTGATTGGTTTTTGAGATATAGCGGCCTTTTCTGTCAAAGACAGGTGGCGTTTAGCGACTTTTACAAACTGTTATTTCTGAATGCGCTGACGCTGGGATTTAAATGATTTGGAGCAAATCTATTTGTTGTTCGTGTAGTTCATGCCTAAAGAATACACTCAATGTCATTAGCTCATTTTGGGCGGAAGTGGCGTTTAGCGGCTTGTGCATCTGAACTCTTCATATATATATATATATATATATATATGAATATAGGGCACCATTTTGGCCGCTGCTGGCCAAAAGGGTGTCCTATGCGAAATTTTACTGTGGTGCGCCAGACATATTTTGACATTCTTATTAAATGACAACTTATTTACATTATGGGATGTTTGTTGTTTACATTTTAGGACTTTCTATTACTGTTTGCTATGGAATGCAAAAACTTTGAAGCTCAATATCTCAAAATCATTCAGAACGCAGATAGAACCTTCTAATTCCAAGGTGGCGAAATGTAAAAAAAATTGACAAAAAATATATATATATATACATAATAATATACATAATAACTATATTATAATAAACAATAGATACAGTGAAATAATCATGCAGTACATGTGTATGTAGCTGGTGTGCAAACAGAATTGTAAAGTATTGCACAAGTTAATAAAAATAATTTGTGTAATTATCAGCAACATGGGGAAGAGGAGCAAATGTGAAAAGTCATAGAACATGTCCTGTCATAGTTAAAGCACAATGCACAGCTGCAAAGCAAAAACTGAATGTGAACAACAACACAAAAGGAAGATTGGTGCAGTTGTGGTGAAGTTTAAATGTTAGCCTCACTAATTTACTTAATTTACAACCAAAAATATGTTTTCAAGATTCATGGAAGTTACCTGAAAGTGATGCACGGGATTCATCTTGTTCTTTTTTCCTCTTCTCGGCTCTGGACTGCTGTTGTCTTTTACAGGGCATAGAGCTGCAATTTGCATCAATTATAATTATGTGCAGCTAGCAGCCACAAATATGAGTGAACCGGGTCGCGCACGCGGCTATGCGCGTACATGGAAAAAATGTCACATGTTTGTATTGGCGTCCGTCATAAAATTATTGTATTTAACAACATATTTTCAATATACTTTTTATTTACACTCAGTTTATGTTAATATTGTAAATAAATATCAATATATATATATATTTCTTTAAAAGCCGAGATTAACCAAATGCCGAGCAAGACACATGCTTCCTGTTTATACTAGAACGCGCATGCCCAGAGTGCGCGAATGGTCATGTGATATACGTTTTTGGTGGCGTAGTGTAGACGGAGATATGTTCAGAAATGCTAGGTGAAACGCTAGTGTGGACGCAGATCGTTTTTGATCTAAAACGCCGTTTTAAAACTAAAACGCACTAGTGTAAACGGGGGCTTAGTCACATACCTGTCTGATGGCTTATTAAGCAGGTCTTTGTCTTCTCAGGTGTGACACACTGCTTTAGTATTGATAGTTCACGCCTTCTCGCATAGACCATTTTCACTCAAAAAGTGACTTAGAAAATTTGTGTTTTTCATTTATCATTTTGAAGCAAAAACACTAGACTACAAGAGCCATTTCTCAAAAGTCTTGTGCACAAATGTTTTCTGTGTGTTTCATGGCCTTGTTTTAGTGACTTTTAGTTTTTCACTGACCACGCATAAACGTTTTTCTTAAAAACATAAACGCATACAAACATGCTGCTTGGGTATTATTGTAGCCCAACTAGTGCTGTTTACAGTGTTATCACACGTTAGCCATTAATATGTTTTTAAGATACTGAAAACAACACAAATGTCAGTGCATGTCAAAACTTCTCCACGGCCATAAAATACCCTCAGACCCCTGAGGGTTAAATCTAATAGAGAATACAAAATAAAGATCAGAATAGATAGATGAGACGCACATAACCATCAATTTTTACATCTGAGCAATTCATTTTCGTTCTCCATATTAGAGGAGTCTTTAAGCTGTTATCAATAAAAATGCCTTTTATGTAAAGGATTAAATATATTTCAGTAGTTCAGTACATAATCCTTATTTCATTGTTATTACACATAACATTTTTTCAGACTTTTGTTATTTTTATGTTTGCGTTTTTTTTTTTAAACCAAAATCTGATTTGGTTCCATGTCAACAGCTCCTTTAGAATATTTTTCCCAGAACAAAACATCATGTGTTAAATACTTTTTCCCGCACTGTATATATAAAACAAATAAATTGTTCTTATAGGTTATTTTACATGACAGAACAAACAATTCACTGAATATTCATATATGAGGATGATTAAAAAAAAGCAACCAAATGATGCCTCCGTGTAAGATGTTTTCATCCTCAATTTTATAGTAGGCATTTTTCTGTTAAGGTTGACAAATGCTCCATGCATTGTTTCTATTATATGTTGGGGGAACAATTATTTAAACATAATTAAAAATGATATTTAAAAATAAAAGGTTTTCATGTGAATCTCCATACTGTATATACTATGAAATACACACAATGCATGTAAACACACAGAACCATACAGTAGCTTCTGTGGTCGGCTGAGGTTCCTCATCATTAGTTATGTCAACTCTGCTATGATAAATTACAGCAGCTCTTCATAGCTTCAGTGTGTGTGTGTGTGTGGGTGAGTTATTCCCAAGACCAATGTTTTTCATCTCAGCACACACCTGCACTTATAAGGTATAAGCATGCACCTACACCTCCACGGTTCCCTCACATACAGCCCAGTTGTGCTATACAGGAGAGCTGCATTCATGAGCTCTGACCCTGTTTCCATGCGGATACTGATCTTTAACACTTGTGCGCTTGTGAAATGGCCTCTAATCCATTAAACATGAACAGCCCTGTGTGTGTGCTTGGGGTGTGATGTCTTTCTTTTTGTTGTTTTGTAAAGGATTATCCAGAATTCCTAATAATTGTCAGATTTGTTGAGTATCTCCTGTTTTGTTTTTGTTTTGTGCAGCTGTTTCCTGTCTTTGCTTCTGGTGGCAGCAGTCGTATGGAAGATCAAGCAGAGCTGCTGGGCGTCTCGGCGCAGAGAGGTCAGTGGTGGAGCAGCTCACTTCCTACCTGTCCCATTTGATTGATCCAGTTAGTCACGTGATGGTGTGTTTGTAGCTTTGAAGCATTTTCGAATGCTGTCAATCAAGGCAGATGCTTGTTTTTTGAACTTTGAGGGTTTCCGTATGAACATTTATTGGCCAGGGTTTCCCCGGGGAATTGGATAGCTGGAATGTCATGGTGGTTTGTATATATTTTGATTATGGAATATTAGGGATTTTTGTTTGTCGCTTTCAATTTTAGTTTCCATTTATCTCCTTCTATATACAGTTAAAGTCTGAATTATTATCCCTACTTAATTATTAGCCCCCTGAAACATTTTTCCTCAACATCTGTTTAATGGAAAGAAGTTTTTTTTTTTTCTTGTCAGTTTTTAATTTTAATTTTTAATTTTTATGAATTCTTTTTTTTTAACATAATAATTTTAAAGAGCCCATATTTAGCATTATAAAAAGTCATATTTTGGTTTTGGAGATCTCCAACAACAGGCTGATATGCATGCAATGTCAAAAAACACTTTCATTGTCTTATAATATGCATTTATTTTTACTTAATTATCCCAAAGACTACCATATGATTTGTTCAGCGATTCATTTGTTCCCAAACCCCTTCTTTGCATGTGGCTAATCTATGGGGATTAGTCTGATGACCCAGTCTGTTGTAATTGGTCGACTTTACACAAACATTATACATTTAAGTGGAAGACATGTCAGTCGAGAGTTGGCATAGGAAAATAGGAAATAAGATACATTGGGGGGGGGGAAATATTTGCAAAAGAAATAAATAAATCAATTTGACTTCATTCATTTATTTATTTTCTTTTTGGCTAAGTCCCTTTATTAATCAGGGGTCGCCACAGCAGAATTAACCGCCAACTTATCCAGCTCAAGTTTTACACAGCGGATGCCCTTCCAGGCACAACCCAACATACACTATGGCCAATTGAGCTTATTCAATTCACCTGTACCGCATGTCTTCAGGCTGTGGGGTTAAACCGAAGCACCTGGAGGAAACCCTTGAGAACACGGGAGAACATGCAAACTCCCCACAGAAATGCCAACTGACTCTGTTCAACTGTTACGGTTAGGATAATTTTCAGCTGCATTTTGTTACTTTTAGTCTTTAACTTGCAGCCACTTAAGTCAAATGCATTCACCTGTTAACTAAGGCAAACATGTCAAGGATAATATACAATTCGAGCACTTTGTCTTCAAAATGACCACTTTAAAGCCTGGGTGTTAAAAGTAGGTGACAGATAAGCTAAATATAATGTTTGTAAAAGTACTATCGAGCTATCAAATGCAATAGAGGGAGCACTTCACGACTACACAAACAACAAGTTTTTCAGATTTATTTTAACTTGAGTTAAATCATCCATTGCTGTTCTCATTGTGCTAATTAACGTAATGCAAAATTATATTCAAACTAAGAGCATTTTAATATTATGAAAATATATATGTTTTTTTTTTTTCTTTCATTTGATGTCATAGAGTTATACAGTAGTAGAAATGCAGTAACACTTTATTTTTGAGCCAGTATTTCTCTTTTGCCTGTATTCTGTATTTAACTTTACAATAAAGGTTTTTTTGGTTACTTAACCATGCACTTATACTTTAAGTGTTTTTTTTTTCTTTTAGATGTTTTTCATCGAGTCATACATATGTTCTCTATGGTGGTAATGGGTGGTTACATTATTATGTTTACCATTAGTTACCTATAGCGATTTTCAAATTCATGAGCAGTGTTCTCTTTGAAGGCTTCATTCTGATGGATTTTGCTTCAAGTAACCAACAGAAAAACATTACCTTTAAAATATCATGCAAAATTATGAAAAAATATAGAATTTTTTTATTGCCTTAATTCCCTTTTAAAACCTATATTTGAAACTAAAGCCCCGGTCATACTGCACTTCGCCCCATAGACTTCCATTCATACACATTTGAATGTGGCAGATCGGAAACGCAAGCAGTTCACTTGGTGTACTCTGACATGCAAAACCACATCATGGGATTCCGTGAGATCAATTGTAGATCAAAACATAACATCTCTGTACAGAAATTTTAAATGTGGACCAATCGCTCGCTTTTTTTAAACGACTAATGTTGTTTAATCCCGCCTCTTTTCACAGCGTCGTTCATCAGAATTTCGCATGCTGAAACTCTACTATGACCATAGCATAAGTCATATCAAAAAGAAGTTATATTTCTTAAAAATAATTTACAAACAGAAACGTTAAACTAGTAAATTAAGCTTAATCTCATTTAAAATACAAAAAAGTGTAGACGAGTACAATGTATTGACTATTATTGATGTTTGTTAGATCACGATAATCTAAGGCGAGTGAAAGTTTTTAATTCACTTTCTAGACTTTATATAAATAATTAATTCATTATTTTTCAGAAGTAACATCCACATGTTAATGTGCATTTTTAAAGAAATCATTTTTAAATTTATTGTTTTTAAACAAAGGATTTAGCAACTTGCATCTTTTTTTTTTTTTTAACAAATTTATTTTGCAAAAAATAAAAAGCCCTGTATGAGATTGCTTTTCATGTTTATTTAAAAAAAATGATAAAAGTGTATTATGGTTATATTATTATTACACAAAACACTGTGCTGTTTTCACCCCCAAAATCAGCATAACTTAAAATATAATGCTGACAGTGTTTAAGAGTCTTTACATTTTCAATGAACAATGATTTATTATTAATACACTTCCATTTTAGGAACATTATTTCTCAGTTTTGCTCTTTTTAGATAAAATTTTCAGATCAACATTTCATTTAGGCTTAGTTGTAACTTCTGCACAATCAGCACTTGTTGATTAGCAACAATTAAACAAAAAAAGCAGTTTTAACCATTTTGCTTTTTTGAAAACCTACCTACCTAGTATTTTTGAAATAGTCTAATATAAACAAATGTTTTTTTTACTTCTATTTAATTTAGTATTAAGCCATTTTAGCAAAACATACCATCAATTAATTTTTTAACAGTTTGTTGTGGTGTTCTGACTTTTTTTTGTTGGTCAGTTTTAATATGCTAGAAGAATAAGGGCTGAAATATGAACTTTTGTTTTTATGGCTAGCACATAGACTGAAGTGGTTTGGTTTTGAAAGATTTTCAAGAGGCCAATTTAAGCCACACAGAGGTGTTTATAAGGGCTAATGTGAGTGTCCTTTAAAGCACCCTCTTCACCATCTGCCTTAGTCAAGTGCTCTCATCCAATAAAAAGTGCTAATACTACTTCCTCTCAGTCACGCAACAATCAAACATGTATCTATATGCACATGACTTCCTATCTCAACTTTGAGCATTAAAGTTTCTGACCCTTTAGCTTCAAGCATGACATTTACTAAAGATCTCCATGGCAACCAGACATAGAGGGCTAATTTAGGACTAGCATAATCCAGCAAACAGTTTTGCTCTATCTTGCTCTTGCACCTTATGCAAGTTGTGATTCTTTAGGATTATATAATTAATTATATTTACAGACCTCCTGAGTTAGAATGTGCACATGATACCTAAAATATTTAAGTTTTGTGTGTGGTTAATGTGTGCACTATATGTGCCCTACTGTATCTGACAAAAATAGCAGCACATACTCAAGTCGACTTTAGTTTATAGGATAGACAACTTGATCAAATATTTTGTTTGAGGTACTGATTTGTTGCACTTTAATTTAAGAAGATAATTACAAAGAATTTTTACTTTACTTTTTTATTGCTGACTTTGATTCAGTACAAAGAGAGGGCAGGACATAGAGTAGCCCCTCTCCTATTTAAAAATCAATCAATAGCATTTAGGATTATCACACCTTTGCCAGTGAGAGTGGCTGAACTCAAGCGCATCAAATGAAAAGCACATGAGAAGTATCTTGAAGGGGGTGGGGCATGTCAGATACTAGACAGCATTTGATTGGTCTATATTTGATGAGAAACTGAAGTATGAGATGACGTGGGGAAAAAAATGTTGATCCAATTAGGCAGAAGTGACAAACTGTAAGCTTTACATGTTAATATCGGTTTTATATCTTCAAATTGCAAATTTGTCACTGTTTTGTTGCACACTACTAATAGATATCTTTAAAACTCACATGCTGATACTAACATCTAAAAATGTTTTTTTTTTAATTTCACTTGAACTTTTAAGGCTTAATAATAAATCGAACAGACGAGTCATAAAAAGTCACCCCCTCACAGTTGTCATGAAGGATAGTATTAGCTATATACATCAAAATGATTCACTTTGGTATTGGCTACAGGAGGAAAAATGGGTGATTGATGCTTAGGTTCAATCCCAGTTCTACGCCTTAGCCCTACCTCTCATTTTGCGTGTTCACATGGAGTAGGGTCGTCCCAATTCTCTCTGTATTTTTAAATTATTTTTCAGGACCACACTCCAAACCAAGGAGTACAAACATTACTCAGAATACGCATCTACAACAACAGCATGGCTGCACGTGCCAGTCAGGAGGTGCAAAACTAGGATTTTTTTGTCATTATTGCAAATTTTTACAACAAGCAACCATTTGCTTTAATGAATTTATAATTGTGTTTGTGTTAAAAAAAAAAAAAAAGCTAAATTTCGCTTTTTAATACCTGCAATAATAACAACTTCCATATAGTAGTCCCACAACATACTTTTACATCTGTCAATCGATAACCCTCGAATACCTTGCCAGAATACAGAGTACCAGCCACTAGAATGCCCTTGAATGAGCTTTTTTTACAGTGTCTGGTATAATGTTAATGTTGTTGTTATTTGTTTACATAATCAATATGTCCACTGTGTAATTGCACATTACAGTTAAGAGTTTATTGCCACATTACGTTGTTTTGATATCATGATATCGTTGCCTTCAGCGGTTTCCAGAAAATTAAATATCAAAAAATAAAGCAACTTGAATAACTACAGCAGTCACCGTTGTCATCAATTTTATATAAAGTAAGAGCTCGCAACAACATATGACGACATGTGCTAG